TGAGATGTTCGCAGGTTGTGTCGCGACGGGCAAAGAATATGGCATGAAATTAATTTTTTTTGTTGATGTGTGTTGTAAATTGTTGGCATGGGTGTGGTCGTCGGTGGTAGGCAATAGATAGGAGGTGAGTTCCGATCATGGGGGTGGCCAGAATGTAATTTCTGACGACTTTTAGATTTGAGGGTAGTGAACTTTCAGCATTAATTCCGATCAATACACTTGATGAAATTGAGAGTGGTTGGATTGTAATTGAAGGGGATATTGGAGTGCTGTCGATCGGTGTAAACGTTCAGCGGCTCGGGTGGCCAGAGGCTGCCAAAATTTGGACCCATTTAGGCTGGAAAAAAAGGCAAAAAATCTCCACTTTTTGGACTGATTTTCATTTTTTAAAAAGTTTAGGAGCAGATTGCAATTTATTCTTTATTTTTCTTTTCTTTTCTTTTTTGTTTTATTTATATAGGAGAGTATATTGGTCATTTTATGTTAAAATTGGTGAAAAGAACATTCAGCGCAAAGAATGTGAAAGGNGAGGAGAGAAATGAGAGTTTTTGTTTTTATTGATAATTTTTAATATTTGTATAACTTTTGGACTGATTTGCATTTTAAAGAAGTTTAGGAGCAGATTGCAATTTATTCTTTATTTTTCTTTTCTTTTCTTTTTTGTTTTATTTATATAGGAGCGTATAATGATTATTTTATGTTAAAATTGGTAAAAATGATGTTCAACGCAAAAAACGTAAAAAGTAGGACGTTCTGCGTTACAAAACGAAAGGTATGAACGTTTTCCACAAAAAACCTTAAAAAGTAGGGACGTTTTGCGCCAATTAGCCTAAAAAAAATACACTAAATAGAGACTATTTTTAGTAACTTGAGCCCCTATTCGGTTAGGATTAAAATTGAATTTTTAGTGAATTTTGATAAAAGTTGATGAAATATATGATTGAAAGTTGTGGGGTGTGGCTCATGAAATATATGGTTAAAAATAATTGTTAAATTTGACTTAAATTAAAATTTTAATTTTAATCGGTACCAAACAAGGGACAATATTGGAACAATAAATTTATATGTATTTATCTTCTTCAATCACGTATCATTCAATTTGTTATTTACAAAATACCGAAAAAGCACTTCTTGTGTATTCAATCAAAGGAAACCAAAATCTAAAGATCTACAAATAAATAAATAAATAAAATAAAAATAAAAATAGAAGCTTCCATGGAATTATTATATATGTTCGACTTTCAATTTCTTTGGATATTC